CAACTGAGGAGCTCTCACGAAATTTATGGTGCCATTAAATTTTGCATTGATTGCAATCTTCAAGTTCAGGTTTACAAAACACAAATCCCATTATCTAAAGCGTCCGCCTATACTTCTTTTCACCTGAGGCGGCAAGTATTTATCACGCTTATTGCGCTACTTGCACTAAATGAGTAGCCATGGATGATTGCATTTTTCGGCTAATCAACAATTGGCTTTTCGCCTGCAGTCATGTAAATGACCTTTTTTAAAATATTCTTCTTCAATAATACATCTCCTAGCCACTTGGCTACCAATAGGGAGCTCAGAAGCGTTCGCCTATCCTACCCTTAATTAAACTGAACTGAATCTCTGTTCCCTTTTCAGATTGTGCGTCTCCTCGGTCTGATTGGTGCGGTGGATCCCTTCAAGCTGAAGATGTGCGCTGGTCAGATGGACTCTCTGCAGGACACCGGTGTAGCCGTTAGCATGCACGATACCGCCGAGTCTCGCGAAAGTATGCCTCCTCCTCCTTCTGCTATGTCCTTATTTTAAAGCTCCCGCCTTCCACAAGAGGCAACTCCGTCTTGTCTAGCACTGAGTATTTCGTCTTACAACAGATATGTTACATCATTAAATGTTAACTGAAGTTCTGAAATGGGCTTTCGATTAGAGCTGTCGTGTTGATTAGCGTACTGTGCAATTCCCAAGTGCCGGTTTTTGAGGGAGCTTCTTTCCGACGCTTTCAAATTCTACACTTCAAAAAAACGCCGTTTAAGTGGTATGGATTTCCCCATCAGTGTTCAGTGCATTTTAAATACAAATAGATTTTTGTAGAGAGCGTGCAAAAATGTATGCCTTAATGGAATCCTTTTCAAAAAATAAATTACGCTTCTTCCAAGATTTGTACTTAAAGAGGACGTATAATTCATTTTTTTAGAGAAACTTTTTAAATCTTCTGAATAATTTTAATCTCACCTGCTTTTATAGGTGCATTTAGGGTCTCCAAACTACACAGGCCGTTTATTTTCATGCACTGAAACTCAAAAATTACTATGAATTACTTAGAAGATCTCATATCGGACCCCCTAAAACATTGCAGTCCGTGTGCACCTTTTCTATCCTTTACAGACCACCGGTAGGGGGCTTTATGGATGGCGTTCCATGGTCTTAAAACATTGTTTATCGGAAAAATGTCCCTTCATCAAGTATAAAATTTGTATAAGACGTAGAATTCCACCGACATAAATTAGGGAAAAAGTATTTTTCTCATTTTATTTAAATTATACTTCAACTTATGAGCGTCTGCACAATCAATGGGAAAAATGCTTATTACTTAACTAGCCTTTTTTGCACATTTAATGTTTGTCGAAAGAGGACAAAAAATTCATTCCAAAGCCGATATCCCGTCGTAACTGAAATATCTGGGAATATGCTGCGTAGTAATTAGTAATATGATCCTACCAAAGCAAGTATTTCCGATCGAATATAGCTTTTAGAATTACAGTTAACGTTTCATGAGATAGAGTTTCAACTGTTGTTGCTCTCCCAACTGGTACGTGGTTACCTGTTCTACATACTCTTGACAGTTAGCCCAGATGAATAAGTCTTTCCTATTCTTCGCCCACTGTTACTTCAATAAAAAAGCAGCTTTTCATATCAGCAACCTAGAAAAACTATTAATTCTTCTGTTCTGCCGTTAACTTTGTTTCGCTGTGTGGCACTCTCCATACAACGTTATATAAGCTCGTGTTCCTGAGGATTTAAATATGTTGGGTTATAGGATGTCGTGTTTGCCTGTTTGGCACTGATTTGCCGCGGTTGAATGACGGAATCCAGTCCAAAGGGGTAATGCTACTTAACAGAGCAGCTGGACCCGGATCCTCAGCGGTTTTGTAGTTTGTCAGCCTTATTTCGCTAAAGTAACCGTTGATGGCGGTTACTCGTACTACTGAAGGCTATCGTGCTGTTTCATCATATCATCGACTCTTAGCAGGACCTCTCAAACTACCGTCAAACATTTCCGTAGTCACACTGTGACCCCTAGCTACCATAGTAAGGAAGAGGGCGTGAGATTTCCTTCGGAAAAGAGGTGTACTTGTGGTTATTGGATTTTTTTTATTTGGAGTATCAGGACACATAGGTCAGTCATTCATGCCATTTTGTTTAACTTATGCCCCCCCTTCCCCCCTAGTTGATATCACGCAGTCTGAACTGTTGGTCAACTTCTTCTGGGAGAGCAAGGAGGAGTTCTTTGCTGCCTACGCTCTTTCCACGCTGATAAATCTGCTACGTGAACCGGTCATGCGTAGCCAGTGCGACAAGGTGGTTCAGGCCATCTGCAACGTCGTGTCCTCCCTTGGCCAACGCTCGATTCCCTACCTGCACCAGGTCATGCGGGAGCTCTTCCAGTGTCTGCAGAGCCTTCAAGATGCACGGGTATGAAG